TTTAATTAATAGGCTGAAACATGGAAAATATTTAAGCTAATTAAATACTCTCATTATTAAGACAAAAAGACACGAGATATATAGTTTAATACATTAAAAAAACTTCTTAAATATTGGAAAATGGCTAGTACGTTTATTATAAATTTTTAATACAAATGTATTATATAGTATAGTTTAAAAGATCTTCTACTAGAAGCTATAGAAAACTTTCGTATGATTGGCTGTTTAAATCAATTTAATTTTACATTATTTATACAGTTTAAAGTACTTTTTTAAAAGAATAAAACTATGAATAATGAACAAAAAAGAAGTATATAGAAAGTTTTATTAGGGTTGTAGGACTCTAGTATCAAAATCATTTCTGATTTTAGAGAAGTTAGAATGGTAACCTCAAAACCAGAAATGATTTTGATTATTTTTAATACTAGAGTCTTACAACCCTAATAAAACTTTCTATAAACAGTCAGACTTCTTTAAGTGCACGTCCTTGTGACCACATTTTAACAATATACATTTAGAGAATAATAAGAAAAAGTACATTTATAGAAGTCAAGTAAATATTTAGACCAAAATCTAAGTGTGTATTCAGAAAGGGTGTGCACTTAGAGAGGGTGCACTTAGAGAAGTCTTACTGTACTTCTTTTTTGTTTATTCTTAGTTTTATTTTTTTTAAAAAGTACTTTAAACTGTATAAATAATGTAAAATTAAATTGATTTAAACAGCCAATCATACGAAAGTTTTCTTATAATACTAGGGTGCTGAAAAATTATTAATTGTCAATTGTGTAATCATATGCTATTTAAAAACTTTATCAGTTAATTTGATGAATAATAATAATTACAGTTTGCAAATGCTATTCATAGAAAGACTTTCATATGATTGGTTATTTAATTTTACATTATTTATACAGTTTAAAATACTTCTTAAAAAAAATAAAACTACGAAGAATAAACAAAATATTTTTTTTTGTTTTTCTCAATTTTAGTTAGAATTACTCTTATTCTTGTATTATTTGTTTTTAAAGATAAATTTTAATAAAAAATTTTAAAAAATTTTTAAGCTATTTTTAGATTAGAATTTAGGGTTAAAGTTTATAATAAAAGAGTATACATATATGGATTTTAGTAGGGTTTGTATAAATACAGTCAGACCTCTCTAAATGCAACCTCTATAAATGCAATACCTCCCTAAATGCACGTTTTTGTCTTGGCTATATGAAATCATTAGTGCTAAATGCATATTCTATATTCTGCAAATGCACGTTTACTTAAAAGATTTTTTATATCATACTAACCTCCCTAAGTGCACGTAGCTAATCAGAAGTCAATATTTAAGTTTGTTATACAAGTCTGCAGATCAAATATTAAAAGCTGCAATTTGATTGGCTCCCTCTAAATGCAAACCTCCCTAAATACATGTTTTAGGCTGGTCTATACACATTGCATTTATGGAGGTTTGACTGTATACACAATTGTGATCTACGATTTGTATTACTCATTTATAGCTATTAGGTACTAGATGCTGGTTAAATATCTTGTGAAATATAAACTTTAAAAAAGATTTGTAGTTTTCAATAAAACACTATTTTTTATTCTTCCCTTTTGTTGCATTTCGTTAATTAAATATTAGGCCTACAGAATAAATTTTTTGTAGTTTCTAATAGATACTATTTTTTTTTGACACGAAGTTGTTGGACTCCTCTTCTGGTGTAATATAAACAAATTTTTAAAAAAAAGTCCATTTTGATGAATAGTATTTTTTTTTTGTTTTTTTTTGCACTTCATTTGATATAAGGTTGTTAGGTCCACAAGAATATTTTTTTGTGGTATAATATGAAATAATCAAGCACTTTCATTCTTTCTTGGTATAAATAATATGTCTCAGATATCAGGTTCTTTGCAATCATTTTATCATTTTAAGAGGTATATACATTATTATTTTTTAAAGAATAAACATTAGCATTTGATAAGAAACTTATTTCTTAAATATTTTTATGATTATAGAAATGAAAAATAAAAAAAAGAAAAACAAGCAAAATGAAATATCTGAAAGTGAGAGTGATTGTAAAAGCGAAACATCTACTAGTAGCTCTTTTTTCTCTTCTTCATCTTTACTGTCTGCTTCTTTGAAAAAAAAAATAATAGAATATTTAGATTCAGAGTCATATCAACAAATTAAAAAAAGTATTTTCTTTATTTTGTATATTTTTTTTTTATATATATTTTAATATTTACTTTGATTAAATATTTTTTACAGAAAGAAGTATTCATTTGGTGTGATTCTGATCTTAAGGATATTTACTGTATTGATGAATTGATTATCTGGATTGATCAAAAAGCGCTATTATAACTAAATTACTTCCTGCTTTATGTAAAAAAGTTGACAAAAAGTATAATGTATCACAACAAGAACTTCTTAAAATGTTGCATAGAAGGTGGCATGCACATCATCGTGAATATAATATTAGAAAGCAAGGTGATAAGCAATATGAAAAAAACTAACGAAGAAAAGCAAAAAATTTAATGGTACGAGAAGTAAGTATTGATATATAGTACAGATTTAGAGTTTATATTTTTTATTTTAATTAAATTATTTATTAAAAAACAAAGAAGAGTAACTGCTATAGACTATTTACTTGCTATGAAGGATCCTCATATTATGAAATATCTACAAAGAGATTTGGTGGCAATATTAAAAGACAGTGGATATCATTCAAAAAAGTGGAAAGAAACAGATTCTGAAAATGATAATTATCAAAAAAAATCCATATACATTTATAATAAATGGTAACGATCTAAAGCTATAAGTAAATCTTCTACTACAATTAAAGTTCAGGTTAACAAATTCTTATAGGGTGAATATTTGATATAGCAAATTTGATATTTGAATATTTCTATATATATTAAACTTTACTATTTCGAGCTTTAACTGTATTATATATAGTTTTAAATACAAGTTACTCTCGTTATAGTGAACTATTGACATAGTGAACATTTCGTTATAGTAAAGAACAGCTTATATAAAACTATCTTAATGTTGCGAATTTATTAAGAGATTCTTGATATAGTAAAGAAAATTTTATGCCTGATCACTTTACTATAATGAGAGTAGCTTGTATCAAATATTTCGATATTAATTTATTTATATAATTTTTTTTTTTTTTACAAGCTTTTAAATTTATTATATAATCAAATTGATCCAATTGTTGAGTTATTACGCAAAAAAAAGTTAACTGTAAGACAATT